GAAAGATGGGAGGAGATATGACCATGAATTTTTGGATAAGAGATACGAAGAGTTAACGCTAGTGGACGGGGTGTGTATACTTGTGGTCGGTGTTAAAGACGGAAGCAGGTTATAGACAGGAAGTAGAGGATAGTGTAAGGGCAGGATGGAGGAAGGGAAGGAGACGGAAGGAGTTGTATGTGTGTGACAGAAGGACAAAAGAACATTGAATATATAATATAAAAGACAATAAGAAAATAATTACAATAACATACTCCGGGCTAATGGTGTTGCTACATAAACAAAACAATGATAGTGGCGCCTACAGAAGGACAAAAAACTGTAGGTTCGTAGTCTTCCTGTAGAGATGAGGTGGTGTGTTGTCTGGCGTTGTTGTCATCACGTCAGCCAGAGTGAGAGAGAATCTATAGAGGATTGAATCACGTAACATATAAGAGTCAATGCAGTTATATGTCACTGAAAGAAGATCACTAACATCCTATTATGAAAGATTAAACTTAAGAACACAGCATCATGGGAGTTGGAATGTCACTCTGAGCTGTTTTAAAGGAGTCAAGTGTTTTTACCTCCAGCTAGTTGAGGTTAATACTTCCTTATGACCAAAATAGTCCACGAAGCCTGATGAGTGTCCCATCCCTACCTCACCCGGTCTAGACTACTGCTACCACTAGTCTAGGGGCTTCTGCTACAACCAGTCTAGGGGCTATTGGTATGACCCGTCTAGGGGGCCATTGATACCACCAGTCTAGGGGGCTATTGCTACGACCAGTCTATGGGTTATTGCTACCTTGACCAGTCTAGGGAATACTACTACCATGACCAGTTTAGGGGCTACTGCTACCACCAGTCTAGGGGTTACTACTACCTTGACCAGTCTAGGGGCTATTGCTACCACCAGTCTAGGGACTACTACTACCTTGACCAGTCTAAGGGCTATTGCTACCACCAGTCTAGGGACTACTGCTACGATCAGTCTAGGGCTAATAGTGTGTGTGTGTGTGTGTGTGTGTGTGTGTGTGTGTATGTGTAAGACATACATATATTCAATAGATCTCCGCCACACAGTCTTGTTTATACTATATATATATATATCCCAATAACGACTACATAGTAAGTCGAATTAGCCAAGAATTGTAGTAGGTAAGGGAGGGAGTGAGGAAAGGAGGGAGGGAGGGAGTAATCAGCATGAGTGCGTGTCAGAGTACCTGCTTAAGACATCACTTCATATCCTTTATCTAACCTCTACCTCCTCGTCTCTCACTTAAACTCTCACACGCCGAAGAACTCTCCCTGTGACACGTACTGCGGCAGGAAAACAAGAGAGTAACACAGAAATCAATAAATATTACAGAATTAATATGTAGAAAAAATACTTCAAAGATAATATAATGAGTTTTGTGGGAAAATTGAAGTAAGGGATAGTTTTCCAGTTGTTAAGAGGAATGAATGAAGCGGAAGTCATTCAATTATCAGAGAATGATTTGGTGAATAACATCTCGAAAGCACGACTCAGAAATACTGTATCATTACCGTATATATTTAATATTTTCTGATAAGGTAACAAGAGGCCAATATATGGTTAAAAACCAGTACAGTATTCTATAATATAAATAAATAAATAATCATCTACTTTCCATAAAATTTCTAGACATTGTTAAAAAAAATAGCTTAGCCATTTACATTTAACTATACTGTAAAAAGCTATAAATAATTTACTGTAAACTATCATACTGCTAAAACAGAAACCAGAAATATACAGTTATCATCCACACAGTTTTCTCTTTAAAGATAAACTAAAGAAAACGAAAACATCCATCGTGCGGGGTTAACTATTTTCCTAACACCAAATCTTTTACCAACATCAACAACAATAAATTAATCTCTTTTGACGGTATTTTAGATCGTAAAAAAACATTATGATAAATACATCCAGCAGTTAGTAAACAGATATCGATATTAAAACATGATCATATTGGTAAGACAATTTATACCTGAAGACAATTATTTACCTACTTGATACGAGTGTGGGTTACATACACAAACTAAATCCAAATAATGGCTTAATATTATCACCTATACTGTTAGTGCTTTACTGGGTGCTACGAAATCTATCAAATCATCCTTAACTTTAAAATATCTCTCACTTAAAGGGACTTGTAGACACCACTATCCTACAGTTCAGTCAACCCCCATAATCTAGTGAACTGAACTGAATACATCGGTGGGTTATATCCTGTATGCAGTAAAAACCATTGTAGTTAAGAGTAGCTGAAAGTATTTAAGAGTCTGATGCACCTGACTCTTGGCTCCACCTAGTGTATAAGTCTCCCAAATTTAATACACTATCTCTCAAAGACTATATATGATTTTTTACTCCCGTTTTTTCCACCTGTTGAATTCAATGTTATATTGTTAAACCTGAGAATGGTAGTCACATTGTTTTTATTAGTTAAGGAGAATGTTGTGAATGATTTATCAGACAACAGTGACTCATAGGAAGGTCAGGGTCATATATACCAAGGTCAAGATCTACTTAAACCTGCCTCCAACTTTATCAAAATTGCCAAAAAAGAAAAAAAAGTTATGGTGATTTTAATCCTGACTACTGGTGATTCTGGTTTCATTCACCGTGTTTATAATGATGTTTTACTGAGTATTATAACTACTACATTAATCTCACAGCTCCAACCTTTAAGTTACCTCTATGTTGCCTACTTATTAAAGCTGATTAACACATTCTTACTTAATGATTTATTTTAATGTAAATCATTCCTATTAAACATTCACGAAACAGTTAGCCCTTTCAATAAAACACAGCACAGCCTGGATTTTCTTGACACCAAAATCTGGTTTTTATTTGGCTAATCTGTTGAAGTTTATTACACATCTAAGTTTTATTTTATTTTTTTTGAAACTTTACATGAAGGTCAATATACACTTGGACAAAGTCATCCAATTTTATATTATTGTATTGGACAAAATCCCAAATAGCTGGACAGAACAAATCACCCCAGAACAAGACACAGGGAAGTGGTTATGTTAGGTCAATCATAAGTGGAGGTCAAATAAGGTCATTGTGGGTTATTATAGTTAGATTGGGTTAACTTGAACAAGGAAATGTTTATATATTTAGGTTAATTTAATTTGATCTACTTGAGAAAGACATTTAGTAGTGAGATTAGGAAAGATAAGAACAGAATTAGGTGGTTAGGTTAGATGGAATTAAGTTTATTTTGGGTTAAACCATAAGTTGTTAAGTATTTCAGGTTTAATTAATTAATAGCACACTTAGATAGGTAGATTAATTAGAGATTAGTAATAGAAAATGAATTACTGAGGTTAGGTTAAACAGGTTACTCTAGTTATGGGTAAAATTAGGTTAATGCAAGCAAGGAAACGATGATGAGGTTAGATTAGTGTTAAAATAGGCTAAAACGTTAATTCAAGTCAGGTTAAGTTAGATATAGAAAGAAGTTAGGTAGTTAAGTTAGTTGGAATGACAGGTGAGACCTAAACTTAAAGCCAGAGTTATAGTTAGACAGATAAGGTGAGGTTAACTTAGATAAAAAGCAGAGAGGTTAGTTAACTTAGATAAAAAGCACAGAGGTTAGTTGACTTGGATAAGGAGAAGCACAGAGGTTAGTTAACTTGGATAAGGAGAAAAACAGAGGTTAGTTAATTTGGATAAGGAGAAGCATTAAGGTTAGTTGACTTAGATAAGAAGCACAGAGGTCAGTTAACTTGGATAAGGAAAAGCATTGAGGTTAGTTAACTTAGATAAGGAGAAGCACTGAGGTTAGTTAACTTAGATAAGAAGCACAGAGGTTAGTTAACTTAGATAAAAAGCACTGAGGTTAGTTAACTTAGATAAGGAGACGCATTGAGGTTAGTTAACTTACTGTAGATAAGAAGCACTGAGGTTAGTTAACTTAGATAAGGAGAAGCATTGAGGTTAGTTAACTTACTGTAGATAAGGAGAAGCACTGAGGTTAGTTAACTTAGATAAGGAGAAGCATTGAGGTTAGTTAACTTGTTGTAGATAAGGAGAAGCACTGAGGTTAGTTAACTTAGATAAGAAGCACAGAGGTTGGTTAACTTAGATAAGGAAAAACATTGGGATTAGTTAACTTAGATAAGGAGAAGCACTGAGGTTAGTTAACTTTGGTGAGAAAAAAGGTATACAGTATATAGAGTTGTTTCAGAGGGACCAAGAGGTGAAACTTTGGTACATTGTTATGGGGGTCAACTTAAAGGCTTACTGTTAATATGACACGAGTGATATTTTGGCCCCATTGACATGCTGTTAATATCTCCTGCACATACACACAAACACATATACATACACCTAAACACACACACAAACACATATACATACACCTAAACACACACACAAACACATATACATACACCTAAACACACACACATAAAGACAGTTCACTATTAAGGGTTCCTATACAGACAAAGATACACTATTAAGGTCTCCTGTACACAAGCATACATTATTAAGGTCCCCTGTACACACATACTGCTAAGGCTTCCTGCACACACACACACACACACAGGCTCAAGAGCAGCATTTGTTACACCTGAACCTATGAAATGACTTAATCTAGATTCTATACATCAGTTCAAAAGATTGACTTTGTTTTAAAAGAAGGAAAAACTCGGCTGGGATTTTGTTACGACTTAAATTTTGTAGGATTTTGTTCAAGGTCAATATTTTTCAAGGGGAAGTGACTGTTTCAGGGGGTTAAGGGATTCTCTTCATGGATTCTAAATTTCGTTTAGTATTTGAGATTTTGTACAGGGGTTAGGGAGTGTGATTATCCAGTGGTTAGAGATTGTGTCCATAATGAAGGAGGAGGATTTACTGCCCTGAATACACATTTGTTAATCTAATGGCCAGAGATTTCAATCCTAACTTCAATTTGAGTAACAAAAGCACTAATACCTACACCAAGAGGAGATTTATGGAAAAAAAACTAATATCTAAGACTTACCTTGTGAAGAAAAGATGTGGGTATGTTGTCTTCTTCTTCAGAGGTAATTTTCAGAATAATCCTTTTGACATGGACGGTTGGATCACAAATGGACAATCCAGCACTGGAGACTCACTAACGGCATCTCTTAGGCACTTTTTAGCAGTTTTCACTCACTACGCACAGGTTATATATTTTTCTGACTTTTTTACAAATTAGGTAATAAAAAAATCACAAATTAATATATAAGTAATGTTCTTTCTTCTCACATGAACCATTAACACTGCGAGAATTTGAACTCTTAGGTGGGGGAGTCGACGGTTTGTTTACATTCTTAACACCTGTATCAGCTGAGCTCACTCTGGATCGCCACTACCTCACCATAACACCCACTTCTCTCCCTCACAACACATGACCAGTTACTCATGGTAATTCACTTCACTATATGACTCAGAACAACACTAACACTGCACTACTTGTAATATTAAACCAGCGGGAGGGACGACTTGCTCCTGAGGTTGAGGGCATCGAGTATGTGGCCAAGAAATTGATGACTCATAATACTTTATCTGAGACTGTCTTTTCTGTGTACTTTGTAACACTCACCACCACACTGTCTCCACCCCGACAGTGACGTAGAGTCTGCCCCTGCGACCCCTCTGGTCACTGTGGATCACCCACGTCTTCATATCCAGCACTGAGCTGAATGTCTCCACCACATGGCTATCTCGACACTGCAGTCGTGACACCATATGTGCACCACAATCACAATAAAGTGTTGTGAACTGTTCACGAACACATCTTTTACAGCACGACGCCAGCTGCCTGGCCGCTTCGTGCATCCGCCCCCGACCCGGCCAGGCACCACCGCGCACTCCCCCACCCCTCGTCGTAGACCTCCCTAAATTATTTTCAGAATATCTCACAACAAATTTCTTGTTTTCCAAAACCCTTTTCGATGTGTGAGACTTCATTTTTCCCCTTTACAAATTTTCACGGCCACAGTTCCTTCACTAACATATTATATTTATGAGTACATCCACAATGTAATTTATTTTCAAGAAAAAAATCAATATGGTTGGTTGATGAATATAAGGTGGGATACTTGTAGACCTCAAAACTAGTTTTCTTTAACATAATTCCACTATTTTGGTGCAGTTAATTAGTTACGAATATTATAACGGCGCTGAGACAGTCACAGATGATTGGTGTGATGCCCAGCTGGGGTACACTGTCTGGGCACACTTATATTCATAACACTAGCTGTACACACCCTCACCCAAACCACCTCTGGTCAACACACTGCTACAACAACCACCGCCACTTAAACACACACTTAATGTTAGTCACTGGTGATCAGTTCATGGCATTGACACCAATGTTCTCTCCGGGATTTCTTCTCTCATATTGTTTACTGTGTTGTCTGTACTGGCAGGAGAGCATGATGATAGTTTCGTGGGCTTCCTTCACCTGCCTCGTCACATATACACCAGAGCCACACCTGCAGGAGAACCTCTTTCCCTGGCATCTTCCATCACCTCCCAGAATCAGTTCCCTCGACTTACATAATGGCTGGATTAGATTATTTATGTAATGGTCTTAAACAAAATAATTCTTGATGAAGAGGAGAGAAATCTTTATTTACCCATTATCGTTTTCAAGCCTGTCAACAGCTGTCCTCCACGTTAACCAGCTGGGCTTGTTGAACCTTCTCTCGTGAACTGTCTCTCGATATCTCATGACTAGACTGTAAGGATGGTGGCTCCCTCTCATAACTTGCTATATTATATGTTTTTGGCCACATATATTAATTTTTCTTATGGCAATTGTACTTTAAACTAATCAATGTTCGGGGTGTGACTCCAGCCTAGTACCCAGCGTCTAAATTTGTCAACAGTTTCGGATGTTTTTTTTAGGCAGGATATATCGTCTCTTTGTTAATCTACGTCACTGAACAGCCCAGCCTGTTTGATGTGATGCCTAGGTCATTATTTCTCATCTTCAACAGTTACCCCTTGATTTTAAGTCATTTAATTCGTCGATTTGTCTCATTATTCCGTCAGTTAAGTAGTTCCGCCATCAATTTGTCCACCTTACTTACGTCACATGTTAGTTTGTCATGACAGCTTGGCCAGATGGGATGATTTGAAATTATTATTATTATTTAATTTGTTTTGGGTTTTTTGGTGGGGGAGGGGTGTTAGGCTCAATTATTATTTTACTAGTTATTAAAACCAGTCAATAGTCTGTTGTTAATTTCCCTATTTTTTTTTACTAGCAGTTAGAGTCAGTGATATTACGGATATATATACAAGCCAGGACATTCAGTTATCATTCTTATCAACCAGAAGTCAGTATAGTCAGTTAGGAAGGCATGATTAGTATACTTCCTAGCCATAATGAATCAGACGTCAATTTTTGCCCCTTAAAAGCTCAGCCAATATTTTTTTAACACAGATACGGTCATTAAATGTACATGAGGGTAGAGTTGGTTAGGAATTATGCCTGTCAGCTTGTTAGGTCAGCCAGTTGTCTGTCAGCTTGTTTGGTCAGCCATTACCTCTGTCAGCTAGTAAAGTCAGCCATTATCTGTCAGCTAGTTAGGTCAGCCACAGGTCAGTCAGTTGTCTTTGTCAGCTTGTTAGGTCAGCCAGTTGTCAGCTTGTTAGGTCAGCCATTACCTCTGTCAGCTAGTAATGTCAGCCATTATCTGTCAGCTTGTTAGATCAGTCATTACTTATCAGCTAGTTAGGTCAGCCATTATGTCAGCTAGATAGGTCAGCAACAGTTGCCTCTGTCAGCGTGTTTGGTCAGCCACAGGAGGTCAGTCAGTTGCCTTTGTCAGTTTGTTAGGTCAGCCATTACCTGTCAGCTAGTTAGGTCAGCCAAGGAGGTCAGTCAGTTGTCTCTGTTAGTTTGTTAGGTCAGTCATTGCCTCTGTCAGTTAGTAAGGTCAACCAGGTGTCTGTCAGCTTGTTAGGTCAACCATTACCTCTGTCGGCTAGTTGTCAGCCATTATCTGTCAGCTAGTTAGGTCAGCCAGTTGTCTTTGTCAGCTTGTTAGGTCAGCCATTACCTGTCAGCTAGTTATGTCAGCTAAATACGTCGGTCAGTTGTCTTTGCCAGTTTGTTAGGAAAGCCACTACCTCTGTCAGCTAGTTGTGTCAGCTAAATAAGTCGGTCAGTTGTCTTTGTCAGTTTGTTAGGTCAGCCATTACCTCTGTCAGCAAGTCAGATCAGTCATTACATATTATTGTCAGACGTTAAGGTCAGTCAATGTTTAGTCAGCCATTTATTCACGGTCAGCTATACCTTCTGACATCCCATTAAGATCAACCATTATACAGTATTTACTAGCTTAATGGGTCAGCCAGATTAAAGTTACTTGTTTAATTAACCATTATTTTTGGAAAGTTAAAAGTAATCTATATTTGGTAAACTAAGTGTGTAAACTAATATTTTTAGTTAATCCATTATTTTAGTAACAATTAATGCATTATTTTAAGCAACAAGTAAATCCTTATTTTTAGCAACAATTAATGCATTATTTTAAGCACAATTAATCCGTTATATTTAGTAACAATTAATCCATTACTTTAAGCAACAAGTAAATCCTTATTTTTAGTAACAATTAATCCATTACTTTAAGCAACAAGTAAATCCTTATTTTTAGTAACAATTAATCCATTATTTTAAGCAACAAGTAAATCCTTATTTTTAGTAACAATTAATCCATTATTTTAAGCAACAAGTAAATCCTTATTTTTAGTAACAATTAATCCATTACTTTAAGCAACAAGTAAATCCTTATTTTTAGTAACAATTAATCCATTACTTTAAGCAACAAGTAAATCCTTATTTTTAGCAGTTAAGGAGACCATTATATTTCTTCCAGTTTAATATACCTTTATTATCACCCTCAAATAATGGCTAATTAAACCCTTTATTTTTTGTCTAATGGTGACCTTATCTAATACCAGTATGATTAACAACCCATTGTCCGTCGGTCTGTCGGGTCATCTATTAATTTGGCTAATGTCAGTATAACCATTAATTTAACTAGTCTGTCGGGATAACCATTATTTTGGCCAGACTTTTCGGACTACCATTATCTCTATATAACCATTCACATTAACCATTATTTTAGTTAATATATTGTACCAACTAATATATTTTAGTATTTTGGGTTGACCAATACTACCATTATTCTGTCCACCCAGATGGTACACCCATTATTTTGGCCACGTTTAATGGGTTATACATCCAGGTTTTTATATTAACCATTATCTCTGCTAATGGTGACCCAGGTTGTTTACTTCTGACCGATTTTTTGAAGATTTAACCATTATTTCTGGCATTTTCCGGGGATAACAATTATTTGGCCATCTTCCTGGGATAACCATTATTTTCTGGCCTTATGCTAGGATAACAATTATTCTGGCCTTTTGCTGGGATAAAAATAATATTATTTCTGGCCTTTTGCTGGGATAAAAATATTATTTCTGGCCTTTTGCTGGGATAACCATTATTTGGCCACTTTGCTGGGATAACCATTAGTTTATTATCTTGGTCGCTTTAACCATTATTTCTACCATACTCTCAGTTTATCCATTATCTCCCTCCCATTTTAATTCCCCATTAGGTTACGCCGCCCATTAATCATCTTCCTTGTTCGTTTGTTTGTTTGTCACCCTGCCATCCTGTTAGGTCAACCAGCTGTCTGCCAACTTGTGAGGTCAACCAGCTGTCTGCCATCTTGTGAGGTCAACCAGCTGTCTGCCATCTTGTGAGGTCAACCAGCTGTCTGCCATCTTGTGAGATCAACCAGCTGTCTGCCGTCTTGTGAGGTCAACCAGCTGTCTGCCGTCTTGTGAGGTCAACCAGCTGTCTGCCATCTTGTGAGGTCGACCTGCTGTCTGCCATCTTTGTAGGAGTCAACCAGCTGTCTGCCAACTTGAAGAGATCAACCAGCTGTCTGCCAACTTGTGAGATCAACCAGCTGTCTGCCAACTTGTGAGATCAGCCAGCTGTCTGCCAACTGTGAGATCAACCAGCTGTCTGCCAACTTGTGAGATCAACCAGCTGTCTGCCAACTTGTGAGATCAACCAGCTCTGCCAACTTGTGAGGTCAACCAGCTGTCTGCCAACTTGTGAATCAACCAGCTGTCTGCCAGAGCTCAACCAGCTGTCTGCAACTTGTGAGATCAACCCAGCTGTCTGCCAACATGAGGTCAACCAGCTGTCTGCCAACTTGTGAGATCAACCAGCTGTCTGCCAACTTGTGAGATCAACCAGCTGTCTGCCAACTTGTGAGATCAACCAGCTGTCTGCCGTCTTGAGGTCAACCAGTTGTCTATCGTCTTGTGAGGTCAACCAGCAGTCTGCGTCTTGTGAGGTCAACCAGCTGTCTGCCATCTTGTGAGGTCGACCTGCTGTCTGCCATCTTTGAGGTCGACCTGCAGTCTGCCGTCTTGTGAGGTCAACCAGCTGTCTGCCATCTTGTGAGGTCGACCTGCTGTCTGCCATCTTGTGAGGTCGACCTGCTGTCTGCCATCTTGTGAGGTCGACCTGCTGTCTGCCATCTTGTGAGGTCAACCAGCTGTCTGCCATCTTGTGAGGTCGACCAGCTGTCTGCCATCCTGTTAGGTCAACCAGCTGTCTGCCAACTTGTGAGATCAACCAGCTGTCTGCCGTCTTGAGGTCAACCAGTTGTCTATCGTCTTGTGAGGTCAACCAGCTGTCTGCCATCTTGTGAGGTCGACCTGCTGTCTGCCATCTTGTGAGGTCAACCAGCTGTCTGCCAACTTGTGAGGTCAACCAGCTGTCTGCCATCTTGTGAGGTCGACCTGCTGTCTGCCATCTTTCGTCCCAGCCAAATCTGCCGAAAAATCTGACATTAGTATGGTAATCTGCCACTACTGCCCTTAAGAATATATTAAAATCCTTTGCTACTTTTATAAGATTACGAGAAAAATGTGACTTTTGCTTTTTTGTAATATTCCAAAATCTGCTGCTACTGTCTTAAGAAATACCAAAATCTATGAACACTCTCTTTGACTCTACCTAGATCTGTACTTGCTTTTTCAATAATATGCCAAAATCTGTGGCTCCTGTCTTTAAGATTACACCAAAAATCTGTGGTTACGTTCTTAATAATACACAAAAAATCTGTAACAATTTCTTGAGAATATACTGAAATCTGAGTATTTTCTATTCTACAATACAAAGACAAAATCTGTCACCAATTTATACAACATTAAAAATCTGTGTCGACTGTCTATAAGAACAAACCAAAATCTGCAAATACAAGCTATAAAAAAACAGCAGTAACAACACCAACCACAACCACAACCACAACAACCACAAAAACATCTACTTTGCACCAATAATAAATTTTCACTATATTTTTTTCTTCAAATAATCAAGAGTCAGAACCTTAACTCTTATTAAGGAGGGAGGGAGAGAGGGAGATTAGAGAAAGGAGGAAGGAGACGAGAGAAAGGAGGGAGGAGACGAGAGAAAGGAGGGAGGAGACGAGAGAAAGGAGGGAGGAGACGAGAGAAAGGAGGGAGGAGACGAGATAGGGAAGAAAGGGAGGAAGATGAGGGAGGGAGGGAGGGAGGAGGGAGGGTGGAGGAGGAGATGAGGAAAAGGAGGGAGGAAAGGAGGAAGGAAGGAGATGAGAGAAAGGAGGGAGGAAAGAAGAAGGAGGGAGAAGACGATTAAAAGGAGGAGGAAAGGTGGAAGGAAATGAGAGAATGGAGGGAGGAAGGGAGGAGATGAGAGAAGGGATGGAGGAGGAGATGAAAGAAAGGAGGGAGGAGGAGATGAAAGGAGGGAGGGAGGAGATGAGAGAAAAGGACGGAGGGAGGAGACGATGAAAAGGAGGGAAGAAAGGGAGGGGAGGAGATGAGGAAGGGAGGGAGGTGATGAGAGAAAAGGAGGGAGGCGATGAGGAAAAGGAGGAAGATGAGAGAGAAGGAGGGAAGAGACGAGGAAAATGAGGGAGGGAGATGAGGAAAAGGGGAAGAAGAAAGGGAGGGAGGAGATGAGGAAAAAGGAGGGAAGGACAGGGAAAATGAGGGAAGAAAGGGAGGGAGGGAGGAGATGAGGAAAGGGAGGAAGGAGATGAGAGAAAGGAGGGAGGAGACGAGAAAATGAGGAAGGAGATGAGGAAAAGGAGGGAGGTGATGAGGAAAATGAGGGAAGAAGGGAGGAGGTGATGAGAGAAAGGAGGGATGAGGAAAATGAGGGAAGAAAGGGAGGAGGAAAATGAGGGAAGAAAGGGAGGGAGGAGATGAGGAAAGGGAGGAAGGAGATGAGAGAAAGGAGGGAGGAGATGAGGAAAATGAGGGAAGAAAGGGAGGGAGGAGATGAGGAAAGGGAGGAAGGAGATGAGAGAAAGGAGGGAGGAGATGAGGAAAATGAGGGAAGAAAGGGAGGGAGGAGATGAGGAAAGGGAGGAAGGAGATGAGAGAAAGGAGGGAGGAGATGAGGAAAATGAGGGAAGAAAGGGAGGGAGGTGATGAGGAAAGGGAAGGAGGTGATGAGAGAAAGGAGGGAGTCGATGAGAGGGAGAGAGGGAGGGAGGGAGGGAGGGAGGGGCATAAAGGTGTTTCAACAGGTAAGATCATTAAGCACACATCACTGGGTCACTTAATACATTATACAACTGCATAAATTATACCATAGGCCAACTGTATAAATTCTATTATAGGCCTACAACATAAATTCTCATAAGCCTACTGCATTAAATTCTCCCATCGACCTACTGCATAGATTCTACCAAAGACCTACTGGACAAATTCTCCCATAGGCCTACTGCCTATTTTCTCCCATAGACCTACTGCATAAATTCTTCCATAGACACTACTGCATAAATTTTCCCATAGGCCTACTGCATAAATTCTACAGTATTTCACGAATTTCACGACAAGAATTTCAGACACTGTACATATTGGATAGTTAAGAATTAATTAGATACTATATGAAGAATTAGTTTATATGGAGTTAAATACAAGTAATATATATAGAATTTGGAATTATATATTGTCGATTTACAGAAAGCTATTACAGGTATTGTAGAATTAGTTAAACATGTGTAGTTAGTTAATAATTACATGAAAAATTATCTAGATACTATATGTACAAATTGGTATAGATGTTATAACAAAGGAATTATATGAGTAGAATCAGTTATAAATTACATACAGAATTAATATGATGAGAATTATTTAGGTATTATGAAGAATAAACTAAACGGTATATGTATATAATTAGAACCATTATAGACTCATCACTATATCATACATTTATTCATATAGGTTATTTTAGAGAACTATAACTGGTATAATAAATTCAACCTTGTAAAATAGACTAGAGGTAGGACTAATTAAGCATATTTTTTTACCTGGTTCTATTTTGTTATGCTGAACACTATAGAAAAGCTGTTTTACTTGTTCTAACGCGATATATTGAATAGTTAAGTGATATTTAGCATACTTCAGTTAGTGGTATAACCGGTGCATGTGTAATGGGTTGGGTCTAGTTCTGAACAGGTAAAAAATGTTGGGTGCTAAATAGTACTCTGGTTGGTATACTCTGGGTGGTATACTCTGGTTGGTATACTCTGACTGGTATACTCTGGGTGGTATACTCTGGTATACTCTGGGTGGTATACTCTGACTGGTATACTCTGGGTGGTATACTCTGACTGGTATACTCTGGGTGGTATACTCTGACTGGTATACTCTGGGTAGTATACTCTGGATTTATGCTATACTTTACGTAGTGCATAGCATTTCTTGGACTCGAGTTTACACTGGTTTACGCTGTGCACGACTGCCTGGTACTGTCATGACATAAACAATAGCGTAACACAACCTACAACACTGACTTTCACCACAAATAACACAGGTTGTTATAACTCACACACCTGGAGACAAACGTGCATTATGTAATGACATAATGAACACACTTTCATGTAACACTCATACAATAACGTCGTGGGTTTGTGTATGTCAAGACCAAGTGTCGTTGAAAATTTGGTAGTTAGCGTGTATGGAAATGTGTGTGTCAGGGTACTGTTGGCCGTGACGACGCTCCCGGCCGGGGCTCATGTGAGTTCAGGCCATTTACACACACTCCCGCTGCTCTTGTGAATTTTGAGAGACACCGGAAACATTAGATGTCAATAATGTCGTCGAAATATTCGGTAAAGCAAAATGGAAACGTAAATTTCATCTGTGAGAGACATCAACGCGGCCAGGCCAGGAGAGCCGAGTGTCACAGGTCTCACAGTTGCCTTGGCAACACTAACAAATACAAGTGTCAACACCCAAGTGATGAGACAAGACACCCGGGCTCCTGACACACTTAATATGATCTCTGGTAACCCTGACACTTACATCATACACCACACTTAACGTGGTTTCTTTGTGTGGAGGAGGAGTATGGTGGGGTGGTGGGTGTGGTGGTGGGTGTGTGAGGGGGAGGAGGTCACTGTGTGGGCTGAGGGGACACTGAGGTGTTCCCAAGGGTCCGCTGGCTTACCCTGCAGGTGGAGGAGCCAAAGTGGGTGGGCGGACAGGCCTGTAGCTGCTCACACCGCCACCGTGGTGCTACCATCAGTTTTAGGTGTTGCTGAGTCACCGAGGGTGTGGAGGTGAGGGCCGGGCACGGGGCGCCACCAAGTTAATCAGTAGTTAACCCACCCACCAAACTGTTCACAGTTGACTTACACGCAATAGTTAGGTGAGGATCGAGGGCGTGTCCTTCTTGTGGTGGTCAGAACGGGCGTGGGCGTCGCCTCCCGGGACACACTGGTCTCAACCGTACATAAAAACAACAACGGGAGGAGTAACAACCATTGTACGGGTGTTTAACGTTGAGTCAAGGAAACGACCCACCACTACCGGGTGATCAACTACTAGAGATATATCATATAATGTCGCCCACCGAGAGAGCTACACAACAACACATTGGCTATACAACGCGTTCTTGATTTAGTGATCGGCGAGCGTCGTCGTGTTCCCGGCCAGCGCTTCGCCCTCCATCTGCTCTGATCCTGCCGGGCCACAACCTCAGTGTCGTGCGAGGTCTACCTCTACCTCACCCAGCCGTGTTCCTCTGTGATCCTCGCACCAGAAGGTCGCGAATTTCAGCGCAGGTTGTGGACAAGGTCCGCTTTTCACTAGTCACCCCCCAGCGCACGTCCCCGGAGGTGCTCACTGGCGGGGTTGCCATCTAGTGGGCGCCGCGCCAACTACTCAGCAGCGGCGGCGGCGGCGACTTGAGACAGCGCCGCGCCGCCTACTGCGCACCGATGTTGTTTTACCTGCTTCTCTCACAACACTGCTGAAGTATTACAACATTTCTTCTATATCGATTTTGCTGATTAACAGCAACTGACAGCAAATCTTACCTACCACAATAATTGTTGGTCACGGTAATAAACCTCGCTGACTTTGATTTACAATTATAGGACCGAAAAAACCTTAAGAAATATTCACCACCACGTAAATTGACCTCCATGTTTACGTCAACACCAACACTGTACGCTAACATGTACACCAGAGAGGCGACATTATCAGCTGTCAGGAATAACTACCACACACAGGAACTAACACACTCATTCAGGGTTTACATCACAATAAACACTCAACCATAAGTAACATTTCCTTCACTATACGTTTAACAAGAGAAACAATGTAACCCAAACAAAACCCACGACTTGAAATCATTAGGTTGTGACTGGTCAGCACAAACCAGCGTCTGTTCTGTGATTGGTTTAGAGGCTTCAAATGACTGACTGTAACGACTGTATTAATAACATAAAACTACAGTGAGGATGATACAGCAACACACAACAGCATCTTGGTCCGACATTTGAGGATAATTATGTTTTCTTGATTTATCTCTTATTCTTGTGTGGAGATGATCAAGGGGCACAGAATACACCAAATAAACGAGGGAGTGAGAAATGGTGAGAAACAGAGATATGAGAAGAATGTAGAGAGTGATAGTAAGCTGCTACAATGATTAGTAAACACCCCCCCCCCCCTCACATTTCCCACAATCCTCAACTTACAAACACAATATAAAATAATTACTCATTATTCATTATCATTCTTTGGTCTAATTATTATTTATTTTTTGCTGTTTCTTATGTTCTAATATTATTATCGTCTCCTGTACACACACACTATTATCGTCTCCTGTACACACACACTATTATCGTCTCCTGTACACACACACACACTATTATCGTCTCCTGTACACTGTACACACACACTATTATCGTCTCCTGTACATACACACTATTAACGTCTCCTGTACACACACACTATTATCGTCTCCTGTACACACACACTATTATCGTCTCCTGTACACACACACTATTATCGTCTCCTGTACACACACACACTATTATCGTCTCCTGTACACACACACTATTATCGTCTCCTGTACATACACACTATTATCGTCTCCTGTACACACACACTATTATCGTCTCCTGTACACACACACACACAGAACACTACCGCTTTTTGCATTTTACTCCCAATACTTTTCAGTTTATTTTGAACAGTTCAAAACTCGAAACAATTAAGTATCACTCGAATCAGTTTCATAAAAAGGAATATTTCTGAAACATTACCCGAGACACTTGATAACAGCTAGACAAAGTAAGTCAATAGGACTAACAATATTACAATATATACACAGTAACATTATCGAAAACTGAATGCCGGCCTGCTAGACTGTTTGAGAGCCTTATCAGTTCGAATACCACAAGACACCCATATTCATACCTGCAGTTGACTGTATTTTGGTTACTTGGCGAGTCTGTCCAAGTAACCTGATGGAAAGCCGATTTATAATGAGATGGTGTCAAAGGATATGACGCAGTGGTATAATGTAAAATATAGTCTATATATTATGAATTTCCGTCACAACACACACTCACCGTGGGAAAATTTGAACACAGCAACAAGCAGAACGTTTCCCATACAATTATAAGGCACTTCGTCTCTTTCAAATTACTAGGGAAGTCTGGGGTATTTTGTGTCTTGTGTGTAGAATTTATACTTTATATGGGGAGAAATTATCTTCATCCTCTCCTTAACACACATAATTTCTCCCTCCCTTACTCCCTATCTTCTCCCTCCCTGCCTTCTACCCTCCTCCCCCCTTTCCCTCTCCCATTCTTGCTTTCCTCCTCCCTCATCAAGGGTTAAGTCATTTGTACTCAAGGGGTTAAATCATCGTACTCAAGGGGTGAAATAACTTTACTCAATGGGTTAAGTTATCGTACTCAAGGGGTTAAGTCATTGTACTAAAGGGGTTAAGTCACTGGACTAAAGGGGTTAAATCATCGCACTCAAGGGTTACATAACAGTACTTAAGGGGTTAAGTCATCGTACTCAATGGGTTAAATAACTGAACTGGGGTTGGCGACCACAGTCCTCCACTCTAAACGTTCTCAGGCTGTTTTTACCAAAACTCTAAGGATTTATATCTCTCTGGGGACCCAGTTTTTAATTTCATTCATCCATCCCAGTCTCTGCATTCCCCTGGCCCTCCTACCCTCAGCTTTGCCCATTAATATTTGTTATCCCTTCATCCTTAATTATATGACCAAGTATCTAAATTTTCTTTTTATGTACATTTGAAGTATTTCTCCTGAAGTCATTGCTAACCTTAGTACTGTACAGTACTTCTTCATTCGTTTTCCTGTCAGTGTAACTTATTCTTAACATTTGCCGATAATACCACATTCAAAGGCCTCCAATCTCTGGTGTCTGATGAGTGTCCGCACTTCTGACCCATTATCCTTGTTATACAAAGCCTTTCAGTAGCCTTTTTCTCAGATTGAAGTTAGTCTTTTCCTCATTAGATCTTTTACATTATTACATGCTGTTTTTGCTTGACCTATGCTGCTTATTTCTTCCATACATCTACCATCACAGCTAATGTCACTTCCCAAATACACAGAATTTTCCACTTGTTTAAGTTCTTTTGCCTACCACAATTTTTATTTAAGGATTTATTTCCAATTTGGAAACAGTCATTACCTTGTACTTTTGCCTTTACAGCTTTAACTGTTAACCCATATTCTTCACCCATTTCTGCTGATCTGTCAACCAGTTTTTGTAAAGTCGCATCTTCGTGGTGGAGAATAATATAATATTTTTCTTTCTATTTTTAATTGCTTTTTACTCATTTTTTCGCCCCCCCCCCCAGGCCTTGTTGAGGGTCGATGACCTGTGCCCGGGTGGCCTAGTCCCTGTAAAAAAAAACTACCCGTGATAAGAGCAGTATCATCTGCAGAGCGTATACTTGACATTACTTTACCATTAACTTTTATTCATTCATAACACTTATAACTTCTCTCATTAAGAATTTTGAATATATATACCTGTATATATATTATACAATGTTGGAGATAGTTGGCTACCTTCAAACATAGGTTGGATGGATATATGAGCAATAGGGGTTGGGTGTAAATGGGACTGCCCAGTTTCCTCCATTCTTATGTGACATAGCCTTGTCTTACTCCCTGTCTAACTATGAACCAATTTGTATACAGGTACTATTCATTACTTACTAACACTGCCGCCTCCTGTTGCCGGTAAAGATTTTTGTAGTATTCTAACATCTCCTTCATTAATGTTTACTTTCTTCAAGACCTCTATAAGTTTATTGTGGTTTACCTTATCAAAAACTTTCTCAAAATCAACAAGCAGACTTACAAAATTTCTCTGGACCTCTACAGCTCTTTCACTCAACATTCTCAACTAAAATAACTTCTCTAGTTCATTTTCCCTTTATAAATCCTTTTACATCTTTACATAACTCACCGTCTAGTGTTAATTTTATTCTACTTAAAATTAAGTTGCAATATTTTTTATAATTTTTATATTTCAGCATAAATAAAAATGTATTATTTCCAATGTGTAAATAATAATTAAATAAAAGGGGGTTTAGGCTTCTTTTATTTACTATTTTCTATTAATATTTTAAAATTAATTACTGTATAGCAAGGTTTTTGTTTATTTAATTTCAAGGTAGAAAACTTTATTACGGTATATACTGTACAGGGTATATATATATATTTTTTTAATTTCGAAGTAGAGAAAAAAATATATATTCTTTATTTAATTTCAAGGTATAAAAAGTTATTATAGAGATAGTTTTGGATCTTAACTTAAAGGTCTGAAAATTAATTAGAAAATCTTATATCTTGAAGGAATAAGAATAAATTAATATGTTTTCCATCGTTTGTGCCTAGTACTCAACAGTCTAATACTCAATAGTGTCTAGTACTCAAGAGTGATTAGTACTCAAAAGTGTCTAGTACTCAATAGTGTCTAGTACTCAAGAGTGATTAGTACTCAAAAGTGTCTAGTACTCAATAGTGTCTAGTACTCAAGAGTGATTAGTACTCAAAAGTGTCTAGTACTCAATAGTGTCTAGTACTCAAGAGTGATTAGTACTCAAAAGTGTCTAGTACTCAATAGTGTCTAGTACTCAAGAGTGATTAGTACTCAAAAGTGCCCAGTATTCAATACAACAGTACTGACCATACAACAGCAGGTGGTGGGTGACAGTGAATTATTCGTGGTGGTGGCGGCAGTAGCGGTGGTGTGGTAGTGGTAACTCTGATGCTGGCTATGGTGGTAGTGGTAGTAGTAGTGTGGTAATGATGATGATGATGGCAGTAGTGAAGTTAATGTCATTGCAGTGATGATAGTGGTAGCTGTAAGTGATAGTGTGCAGTAGTAGTAGGGGCGGATCCAGGAGTATCAAAAGGGGGGAGGGGTCCAAGAAGTTGTGGGTGGGTGGGGGGGAACATGGCTATCACAGGAAGTCTACCCAGATGGGGGTGGTTGGGGGGGGCGCTGTAAACCCCCACCCAAGAATATTTTTTAAATCTGACCAATATCATAAGGATCTTGAAGCCATGTGTACTTGACATTAGGAGATATTCTGAGGTCAATAGTAATTACTTTCTACTATACAAAAACGTCTGAGTAAAATATTGCATTAAAGAAAAAGCATTGGATTTTCTGTTGGAAGGGGGCTTCCGGACCCCCAGAACCCCCTGGATCTGCCCCATGGTGATAGTACTAGCAGTGGTAAGAACTATGATGGTGATGGTAGTAGTAGTGATGATCCAGTAACAGTGGTAGTAGTTGTGGTAGCTAATAATTAAAACAGTACAGTATATAGCTGCTAGTAGA